GTTTTGCTCTCTGTCTCCCTGTGTCTGCACTACTGGTAATTCAGGCCTGTCTCACATGAGCTTTTGAGAGGAAACCTTCCCACAACTAGTTACAGTCTGTGCTCTTGCGCTGCAAAGGACGTAGGGCTGAGCTGTCAGAACGCTGTCTGGGAGATTCGTCCCACACACAGGTCCTGTTCAGGTTTCTCTATTTCAGTCAGGAGTGTGATTTTTCTAGTGAAATCATCAAACCAAGACAGTCTCTGCTACAGATGGGTAGCGACAGCCATTTAAAGATGTCTCATACCTGGCCCGCCTCAGACAGGAATAGCTAATTTCAAGATCATCTTGTTTTACACCAGTACAGCATCTCTCCTTTCTTTCTCTGGCCTTCCTTTCCCACTAGTGAAATGGGGAGAGGATCCTTTCATGTGTCAGTGCACTCCGGGAGTTCCACATATCAGAAATGTCAGAGAAATGCTAAGCATCTTCACGCCTGCCCATGACCCGCCAGCCTGCCAGGGACCGGAGCTCAGCAACTTACACTGCTCCGGGGCAACACGCTCCACAGACACCCTTGTAGCATCCCTGCCTCTCCTGGAGCAGAACTGTTTGGCCTCCTTGCTAAATTAGCTCGCTAATAACAGGGTTCTTGATCCCAGGCGGGAATTTAACACTCTGAGGCCAATCCTAAGCGTGGTCCAAAACTTCCAGCTGGGCCAAAGCCATGTGTATTGTGGCAGGGAACAGGGGTGAGGGAGAGCTGACAAATGCCTGGGGATCATAAGCTCTAGGGAAGGACTTGGGTGCAGCAGGCATCTTGGGATAAGCACTACGTGAGGGTGTACGGCAGGCGCAGAATTAATGAAGAAAAGCGCAGGGAAGGTAACAGGAGAGCTGAAGGGGATTAGGAGAGGAGGCGGCTTCATTTGTGTGGTCTTATGCAGGTGATTTACTCCCTCTGCGCCTTCATTCACCCGCCCATCAAACGGGGAAGCATCATCATTATCTCTGCTGTCCAGACAGGCACGGGGTCTTTGCCTACAGCAAGTCAGGCAGCGCGAGCCCTGAAACCCAGGTGCTTTTGACTGTCAGCCTGGGTTCGGTTCGCTAAACCTTGTTCTCCATCCCAGAGGCACTGAACGGGGCCCTCCGCAGCCAGGAAGGAGCCTGCTAATAACTGTGCAGATGGGCTTTGCTGAGAGAGACGATTTCAGGAACGGCGATAGCTGGAAGACAGTGATGAAGCCGCACTTGTCTCGTCACATGAATAACTACAGTCTGTCCAGTCAGAAGCTGACAGTCTATGGGGAAAGCAGCCCCTTCTGTGCCAATTTAACATGCGCTTCATAGACACAGCAGATCTTTCTGCTTCGCCTCCCCTGCATAGTAAGAGGCAGCGTCCTCCCGTTAGCTTATCTGCCTTTGAACGGGAGATGAGGTTGGCAGACCCCTGTGGGCACGGGGGAACCCTGGAAGGAAATGGAGGCTTTTAGATTTCTGCATGACTGCAGTAAGACCGTAGGTTGTAGTTTCAGTGCCTCTGTATGAAAGAGACTAAACCCCGCACTCGGGGAAGAGTTCCTGGGTGAGTAAATCTCCACACCACTCTTCACAAATATTCTAAGGGAGGGCCACGCAGCCAGCGATAAGATGCCCCAGCAGGATGAATGAATTTAGAGGGGACTCCTGTGGTTATAGACACCCCCCCCCAACAGGGGACAACTGCCCCGGGGGAACGGCCCTCCACCCGCCCCCAGCAGAGCGCCAGGCCCCTTCACAACCCACCGTTAGCGCCAGGCCTGGGACGGGGTGGGGGGACACGGGGGAAGCACCTGGCCGCGTGA